AGAAGGAAAATCTGAAAGAGAAAGAATTAGATAAATTGGATATTACTAGTATTAATGAAAAATTGAATAATGAGAATGATGGTTGGGATGATATGGATGATCTAGTTGATGATGGAGATGAAGTAGAATTGGATAAATTGGATGTTATTAATAATGATGAAGAATGGGGCAATGATGATGATAGTGGTTGGGATGATGAAGAGGGTATAGAAGAAGACATTAAAATAAATCAAAAATTAAAATTAGATTTGATATGGAAGGATGATAATTTATTGGAAAGGACAAAACAAGGCCCATACATGAAAGGCAAGATACCAAAATCAACATATTATGACAAGTTTGGTTCAAATGGTGTCTTCACTAAAGTGGCTGCTGATAATAAAAAAATCACAAATTTCTTTAAAAATAACAATGAAGTTCATCAGGTTAATAAAACTAACATAGAAGAAGAATTTTTAATTGATTCTGAGGATGAAGTTTGTCCAATTAGTGAAAAAATACAAAGTTTAAAAGATGAATTAGAAAAGCAACACTGCAAGATGACAATTGTTAAATATAATTGGAAAAGAGCTATTTATGAATATTTAACCCTATCAAATAATAATAATGGTTGTAGAAAAATTAGTGATAGTTTAGAAGTTGCTAAAAAAGTTTTCATTGATGGTGGATTGTGGAGAGCAAGAAGAATCAGGTACATTACAAACTTTTGGTTAAATAACAATAAACTTCCCATTCCTAGACAAGGAAAACATCAAAAAACACAAAGATTGATTGATGGTGAAGATATTGCTGATATGTGTAAAGTTTGGCTTTGTGAACAAAATTATAATGCCACACCATCCAAATTTAAAAGTTTTATTCAAGAAGAATTATTACCTAAAATTGGAGTTTCCAAAAGGAAAAATATTAGTTTAATGACTGCAACAAGATGGCTGAATATTCTTGGTTATTCATTTCAGCAACATCACAAAGGAATATACTATGATGGGCATGAAAGGGAAGATGTTGTGCAATATTGGAAAGAATTTTTAGAAAAGATGTTTGAATATGAAAAGTATATGTCCAAATTTGATGGTGAATTTATGGATCAAATATTCCCCATTTTGCTTGAAGGAGAGAAAGAAATAATACTTGTAGTTCATGATGAATCCATATTCTATTCAAATGATGGTAAACGTGGAGTGTGGACTAAAGATGGAGAAATGCCATTGTGAAAAAAAAGGAAATGGAAGATCAATTATGGTAAGTGATTTTTTAACTGAAGTTGATGGATGTCTTTGTTTGAAACAGAATGATATTGCACAACACTCTTACATACCTGAGGAAGCTCAATGTTATTTAAAACCTGGAATTAATGCAGAGGGTTACTGGACCATTCAACATCTTCTTGACCAAATAGAATACAAGGCAATTCCTATTTTTGAAGCCTTATATCCAGGTTGTGTAGCTTTATTTGCTTTTGACAATAGTACTTGTCATGCTGCTTTTAGCAAAGATGCTTTGGTTGCAAGTAGAATGAACCTCAATCCAGGTGGTAAGCAACCACTTGTGTGAGACACTTATTTTGGACCAAATAAACAATTACAATCAATGACCTTTTCAGAAATGCATCCTGATGAAAAGCTTTGAGGAAAACCTAAGGGAATTAAACAAGTATTAGAAGAATGAGGAAAATGGCCAATTGAGGGACTAGTATTAGAATGCAAAAATTGTAAAGAGAGAAATAATGATCTTTCAAGAGTTTCTTGTTGTGCTCATTGAGTAATGTCCCTGGAACCTGATTTTCTTGCACAAAGGGGTGCAGTTGAAGAATTAATTGAAAATGCAGGTCATAAATGTATTTTTTTCCCCAAGTTCCATTGTGAGCTAAACTTTATTGAGAGATATTGGGGTGCTGCCAAAAGACATTTGCGTGAAAATTGTGATTATTCTTGGCAAGGTTTACAAAAGGCAGTGCCTGAGAGCCTTGAATCAGTACCTTTAATTACAATTAGAAGATTTTCAAGAAAGTGCTGGCATCATATGGAACTGTATAGAAAAGGAATTAATGGTAAATTAGCAGAATATGCTGTTAAAAAATATAAATCCCATAGAAAAATACCAGATGGAGTAGTAGAAGAGTTGAACAAAATTAGAATAAATTAATTGTATTATTTATGTAAGATTTCAACTAAATCAGAATAAATAAGGTTAAGATCTACATTCAAAAATTTCGGACTGATCGACCTTTTTTGATGAGTATAGGTGATACGCACCATATAAAAACTGCTCGAATCGCATAATTTTTCTACTTCATAACTCTAACATTCGAATAAATAAAATAAAAATTTGTTAAATCGATCAAACCCACGTTAATAAATAAAACGTAGTAAATCAATTAAATATCGCAAATTAATCAAAAACACATTAAGAAATCAATAAAAACGTAGTAAATCAATTAAAAACCACGTTAAAAAACAAAATCATATTAAACATCATACTTACATTCATCAAATCAAAGGTATGTAGGATGCTTGTTCCCGCATATTATAAAAAAACTATCGTACTAATTGATATCATTTTTAGATGACGCCAACTGAATTTCTCGAAACCCTCGCAAAAATGCCATTAGAGAATTATTTATTCATCATCCCTGTCTTGATACTTATCGTAATTTTTATCATTGGGGAAAAGTTTTTCGTGTACCTATTTATTACTGTTATATGCTTCGTTATCTACATCTTTAAACAACGGATCGATATGATCGATATGGATCTTGATTTATTGAAGGAGAAACAAAAAAACGAATCTAAAAAAATTGATAATAAATTTGAAGAAATTGACAATAAAATTATAATAAAATGGATGAAATTAATAATAAAATAGACGAACTTTCCGAAAAAAATTCTTTGCTCAGTGAAGAGATCCAACAAAAATTACAGGAAGAAGATACCCTAACTGATTATTCAAGAAATCTTTCAAGTAATAATAGTTCAAGCAGTTAAGATTATTTCAATGCATAAATATCTGTTATCTTTGAAAATGAATCAACGAATTCTTTAATTTTTAAAAAACATAATATGACCCATAAAAGAATTTTGGAATATTGTGTATATGTAGTGTAACTATATAAATTATGCATATTTATTTGTGCGATTAACCAAATTCGATTAATTGCCTCATGTACGTACTTTTTTCTTTGTAATGGGAATTCTTGGTAAATACTTCTTTCTTCCGCTTTTTTTTTACCTATTCTATAGATCCAAAAGAAGGCGTGAAAGAAAATGAACGAAAACGTTTTAAAAGGGAAGTATATCGAATTTATGAATATTCATTACTATAGTAATTTTTATTTTGCGTTATCAACAATCTAACAATTTCTTATCTTAAAAATGTCTGATAACATCGAAAATTACTTTTACCACAACCGTAAAGCATACCGGGAATTGTATTTTAGAGAATGGCTTCCAAATGTTTATTTACCGAGTGTTAAAGTATTAAGGAAGGTCAAACTTAACATAGCAGAAACTCAGTATCGTCGTGGGCATGAATCTCGTAAAAAATATGAAAAATGATCAACCCTCAATACCAACTGATTTTGCATGTTGTATAATTGGAATAACTTATTTTGAAATTACTATATTAATTTTTTTTTTTCGATTTCAGGGACAACGCCAAAGAATTTATAAAGATGCTTGGAGCGCAGAAAAAGAAAAGGTTCGCTAATTGCATGTTTTAACTCTGAAATTTATTACGAAAAATAACTAAAGTAATTTTTTATTCTAGCGTCAATCGGACGAACAAGAGCAAAATAAAGTACTGAGCAGTTTAGTTTGCTTATCTTGCTGAGCTTGTTTATCCACCGCCTTTTCTAATCTAGCAACTCTTTCAGATAATTCAGCTTATAATTCGAGAGAATATTAATTTTATATTGGGCGAATGTGTAAGTAATTATATTAGAATTCTTCGGGGTATCATATATTAACATTGTCGGCTTTTCTAATAAAAATTGATTATTTTAGAATACTAAGATACAAGGCGAATGCTCGGAAGATAGCTTAAGTGTATATACTGGGGTAGTTGACATTTTACAACGTTTAGATTTGGGAACCATTGAAGTAAAAATTCCTATAGCATCGGGAGTGGTTGATCTTACGGGGAGCGAAGATCCATTTGCGAATCTATTATCTTTTGAGGCAAAACAAATTTTATCGAGGCATCAATTCCATATTACCGAATTACCCAACCAAATTACTACAATGTTAAATGAATTCGTAAGCTCATATGGCGATTTTAGAACCGATTTCGATCCGGCATTAATGCAACCTATAAGTTTCCCCAAGGAGAAGTGTCGCTCGAAACTAGACGCACTTTAATGACTACTTTTGATTTATTAGAAGGATTGTAAGTTAATAGCGAAACTTCGAACATTTTCATATCATTAACAATCTACTGAATATTTTAAATTCTAGGCGTCATATTTGAGCTGTAGGCCATTACTAACAGAAGATGATTATAGCGAGAATGCTTATGTAATTCATGCGGTATCGAAAGTACTGGATCCGCTCTTTACATATTCTAAATGGCATCTAAAACGTGCATAGTCCAAACAAACGAGCAAATCTTCACAGAGCAGAAAAAATCGAATGGGGTCTACTAATTTAGGGAAAAACTCCGATCTTCAAATTTTATTGAAATTGGATATGAAGGAAAATGAGCTAGTTCTAGTAGAGATTTCGCGATTATTTCCCGAACAGGATAAAGATTGGATTGGGAAAAGCTGGTTCGCATTTGTAAAGATTGTTTCGATGAACGATATAATATTTTTTTCGAAAAGAGGGATGGTACTTCTTCCAGAGCAAAAATAATACGCCACGAATTGGGAAAAATTCCTATCTTAGGGATTCAAGTGATAGGAGAACGCATATTCGTTTCCGTGTTAGATCTATTCGAAGGTGCTTTTTACCGGGTTTATCGAATTTGTAAGATTATTATACCTTTACGAATTTCCTCGCGCCAAATTGTTGAAGAACTTTTGAAGAGTGCTCTAGAACTAAGAACCGTAGTTGAAAAAATTGTTGGAATGTCGGTAAGTATAAAAGATGAAATTAATCTATTACCAGCGCTTGAAGATCGAAACCCATCATCATCATCAATTATGTCAACTACATATTCCCCACCGAGAAGTTCTTAGATATAAAAAAGCGCAAATTCTAGAATATATATTGTATCCTATATTTTTTACCGTATCAATAAAACCGATTCTGGTAGTCTATTACACACATAAATTCGAAAAGAAAAAATAATGTATGAAACGCACGGATTTAGTCAGATCGAATTAATTATTATACATATTGAGAATATCCGAATCTAGATTATTTACCTCTAGATATCTACATACCTCTACATAATCAAATATCGCTTTCGTATCTTGCGTATTCCTATTTATGTGATCTTCGTCTTTTCTTTGCATGTACTTATCCCGGTTTAAAAATTGCATATACTGTTTAGGATTATCGGTGAATCTACCTTGAGTTTTGCGCCTGTTATTTTTATATTTGCGAGACATATTGACATATCTATAATAAATAAATGACAATTTTTTCTCCAAAAGTGATCGGTGTGAACAATTGTTCACGTGCACGTGATGTTTGTCTTAATGTAATGAAGGCACTTTATGCCTAACTCGAACTTTTAGAAAAAGACCCATTTTAACCTTAGTATTAGATTATTCTCAGTTACATAATATAGATAGATGTACGCCATGAAAGAAATTCGAATTCTGTTTATGGAACATAGATGTTCTATCAACGATATGCTATAGAAGGAATATTTTTTGTACAATTGACATTATTATTATTGATAAAATGATGGATTTTATTTACGGATATAGAAACTAATGATTGGTAATAGTAAATAGGGATATAGAAACTCATTATTGGTAATTAATATTAATATGTTTTTGGCGTCGGGATTGTTCTAAAAACTTGGTTCCACTAATCAATATAATTAAAGACATCTCTCTTGCTTCACATGTTTGGCGTTGAAAAAATCTTGAGATTGTTCATTTTCATGATTATAATGTCCCAGATATAAACTCATTCATGCGAATCGGTCGATTCATTTGTTATTAATTAATTAATTAATATTAACAGTAAGATACAACGGAATTAAATTGGTGCAACGGAAATTGCCTATCTTGGATATTTCAAGAATGATCATCAATAATAATAAAATCAAAAATATTAACGTTAAAAATTCCTACAAAAAAGGATTTTGCTGTTTCACGAAAGTAAAAGCATTCAATGAATCAATATTCAATGAATCAATATTCAATGAATCAATATTTCAATGAATCAATGATGCTGAATGCTGATTACTGATTACTGCTTACTGAGTAGCTGAGAATCTACTTTTTTAAAACATAATTTTTGGGGAAGCGTGAGGTTAAAATTTCAAGGTGTTTGTTATTGAAAATGCTTTTTGAATGTCTGGGTACTGATTCATGAAAATGATCATCACCTTTAAAAAAGATTTAAAGGTGAACTATGTAAATTATTGCTATTACCCGTGTCAATGTTGTGGATTAGATGATCTGCCTTTTGTTGCCGTGTCCAACCAAACCAAGTAAAAACTGGGGTTTGAAATTGTACTTTGAAAATCCGGTTTTTCCAATTTGCTCTTAAAAATAGGGATGGGGACGGTTTATGCCACATCCGGCGACGTATAATATTTTTATAATTGATCCGTGACGATTAATATACTAAATTACAGGTGACATTTATATTGCCAAAACAAGACAAATTAATTGTCACCATAATTTAGTAATTAATCGTCACGGATCAATTATAAAAATATTATTCGTCGCTGGATGTGACATAAACCGTCCCCATCCCTACTTAAAAATCTCTCAATTTAACAATAATAAATACTATTTTTTTACTCACTATTACTACTATTATTCTTTTTTTTTTTTTGCACACACACTAATGCTAACACTGATCCATTTGTTGTCCAAAAGAAGTTTTTCAAAACTTTAATTACTTACCATTTTTAATGAAAGTAACGATGTTAAC